CAACACGGCCACTCATACTGTATATATTACATAGAAACTTAATACTGCTAAAAAAATCCCAACTGGCAAGGAAGCAATGCAGTTGGCTATTTATAAGCATGGTCGAGAAACTGAATTTGAACTAATCAGGAATCAGGACAAATACAGTCTCAGGTAGTCGCCACGGCGGGACTCGAACCGAAACCGACGCTATGACCACTCGACCATGCTTACTCCTTAAGTATTCCTTGATAGAAATATTCCTGAAGCCTTTCCTACACATTTACAATATATTCATATATTAACTTTAGTTTAATCTATGTTTAATTCCAAGATTTTCACTCGTACTACTCCTCATTAGAATATCATACACATTGATTATAGACTAAAACCTGTCATAGAATTATTATAAATACAGCTTGTGAAATAAGTTCAACACAGAGAGTAGAGTAAAGATCCCGAAGCTCAGACAGAGAGCGAGCGGTCGTCCCATAACAGTTCTATCAATCATTATTATCAACCATGTTCTTGTGGCTCTGCCATCGGATATTGCATGGAGCCACTGACAAACAAGCAAAAACTAAAATCATTTGGCTCCGCCTCCTTAATACAATACTCCTGGTATCAAATTCGGTATTAATGGCTGGAAACGCAAATTGAATTTCATGCAAGAAAGACAAGTCGACCACTCGCGACTTCGTCTTTCACTCGCTACGATCTTCAAATTCTCGCTTCACTCGAATAAAAAAACTGCTCGGAATACAAGAAAGGTCGAGTTTGGGCAAATGTACCCGAAACACGGCATAAACACGGACACGGTCACTCCAAGGACTCGTCATTGCCAGACTATGATTCACATTGCGTTTCCTAGCGTTACCCTTTGCTTTCTGATTTGCGCATTATAATGCGTTCACTTTGTATAAAAATAATTCAGGAATATTCTGCCAACGCCCCCACTGTATGACCCCATGGCGTCAGATAAAAAAAACCAATCGAATATAAATTGAGAATGAAAGGAAAAAAGAAAAAAGAAAAAGAAAAAAGAAAAAAGACACTTTTTGTATAAAAAATAATTTCAATTTAGATCCATTTGTCCAAAATCTTAATACTCTATTACGATGTTTCGTCTCTGACCTGATGCATGACATGTAGTTAGCTTGGCAAAGCGTTTTTTATTTTCAAAAGCATACTTTGGTTAATAAAAGTACTCTGAAATAGTGAAGCCATTTTAAACTGTTTCCACAGATTTTCTTGTATGAACTGCATTCAATAATCAAGAATACAAGAATCAAATATGTTATGATTTATCCGAATTACCATAAGGCTTCCAGTGCAAGCTATGGAGAATGCATGGATGATTATACTGTCATTTTTTTATGCAAAAGAGTTGCTACGGTGTGCGATTAGGCTGAACTTTTCAAATTATGAGAGGTTAAACAATCTATCAAGAAATCATTAGAACTAACGTAAGATCATTATTATTAAAACTAAGCACAGATGAATATGAAGATCAATGCTGACTAGCACTATTATAGTGTATAAAACAATGAATAAAGAAGAACAACGCCATATTACTAAATATAATTTATTACTATTATTGTCAGTATCTATTTATTATTGATTTTCGGTCTCGGGTTTCAGTTTGTGTAGAGTTGTTTGTTAATTTTCTCCTGAATTTTGTCCCTTTTCTTTATCTTGTTGTGGTATATTTAATTCTTTTTAGTATAGTTTCTTTTTGGTTCGTTTTCTCTTCTCTGTTTGAAGGTTTATCTACGTTTTTCCTTCACAAATATCTCACTATGGCGTTAATTTGCATGGTAGCCTGAGCTGTGAAATCACTCTCAACATGCTCGAAATAAAATACATAAAATACATGGTTCTTTCAATGCTTGAATCAAGGACTAAACCCGGCGACACCCCAAACACATCTTACCTTCACTTCAAGGTATTCAGTTAAACTCTAAGCACCTCTAACTAGACGTCTTGGTTGGTTTTCTTCGGTATTCTAGAAGTGAAAACACAATATCAAGGCGGAAATACATGTTGTTATGTCATCTTGAGCAAAATCTAAACCATTTGAACTTTGATATTCAAACTAAACTATCGCTAATAAATGGATTTCTTACCTGGAAGTAAATTCTCTTGTGCTTTTTTCTCGACAAAAACACAGTATAATGTTTGGCATATGATGTCGCAATAGCCAACTTCGTCAATTAAATTCGGTTGAGTGGTCAAGCACCAAATATTTTGAGTGGAGGCTGTGGGAAGCAATAATAGAATGGCATCATTGTTTTGAACCAACCCCGGAGCTAGCCTTGAGATATTCAGATTATTTGGTGTTCGATTATTCAACAGTCTTAGTTGGAGTTATATTATTAGAGAGAAAACGAATGTTTTTACAGACTAAGATAGACATCAGTTTTCTAATTACTATTGCTTATCGTATGAAAACAAGATAAAGAATGATCAATTAGCTATGTAATTAGCTATTAGATATGTAAAAGTATCAAGATTTCAGCAAGGCTAACATCACGCACAAGTTTAGATAATGGTATTCATTGAATTCACAAGTAAACTTCTTAGCTCCTCCCATTAGCATTGGTACCTGTGGTTACGCCCTACACACCTTTTACCCCTTTGCTCAGTTATTTTCGCACAAATCTTTTAAACCTTATGATAAATAAATTGAAAATAAATAAATCCACTTTATTTACGTCTCAATGTATTTATCTCTTCTATTTACAAGCATGGTCGAGAAAATGAATTTGAACTAATCAAAAACCAGGACAAATACAGTTTCAGCTTGTGGCCACAGCGAGAATCGAACTCGGCACCAACGGATTGCGAAACCGACGCTATGACCACTCGACCATACTTCCTCCTTAAGTATTCCTTGATAGAAATATTCGTTTAGCCTTTCATACACATTTACAATATATTCATATATTAACTTTAGTTTAAGCTATGTTTAATTCCAAGATTTTCACTCGTACTACTCCTCATTAGAATATCATACTTAGGAATTTACTTATTCTTTTAGCCAATCATGGTTCAACGATATTCTCACATTGATTAGAGATCATAGAATTATTGTAAATACAGCTTATGAAATAAGTTCAACACAGAGATAGTAGAGTAAAGATCCCGAAGCTCAGAGCGAGAGCGAGCGGTCGTCCCATAACAGTTCTATCAACCATTATTATCAACCATGTTTTTGTGGCTCTGCCATCGGATATTGCATGAGCCACTGACAAATAAGCAAAAACTAAAATCATTTGGCTCCGCCTTCTGAAAACAATACTCCTGGTATCAAATTCGGTAATGGCTGGAAACGCAAATTGAATTTCCTGCAAGAAAGACAAGTCGACCGCTCGCGACTTTGTCTCTCACTCGCTACGATCGTCAAATTCTCGCTTCACTCGAATAAAAAAGATGCTCGGAATACAAGAAAGGTCGAGTTTGGGCAAATGTACCCGAAACACGGCATAAACACGGACACGGTCACTCCAAGGACTCGTCATTGCCAGACTATGATTCACATTGCGTTTCCTAGCGTTACCCTTTGCTTTCTGATTTGCGCATTATAAT